TGCAGTTGGCTACAACTCATAGTGCTTTCCCTTGTTTAGTGGAACTCTTGGCAATGAGCGAGTGAGCTCATCTGGAGCTGGTAAAGTGTTTGCCCAGGAATACTTGCAGTCAGGTTTAAGTGATGGTTATTTATCAGAATGGGTTGAAAAACCTTAGGGTTCTTAGCACAGTTACATGGCAAATAGTAGTCCTATATGTGATGTGGTGTGGCCTGTAAAATGAAGCTGGAAGGTGGTGCTCTGATGTCCTGGGGTCCTGGACAAGGTCTGCCTCCAGATCCTGAGGCTTGAGACCCTCACCGCTTTCGCAGGGGCTCTTTCCCACACCTTTGCATCTTAAAACACTTTACAGGGGATTCCTTTACCTGCCCGCTTCTGAGCCTCCCTCCCCTCATGGGAAAGGATGCTTTGGCTGATGGTGGTGTTGGAGGTGCTCTGCTCTCAAAGCAGTCTCTGTTCTGGTAAAGTTACTTAGCCTGGACTGGATCCAGGAGATGTTGCTTCTGTCAAGCTTGGTCTTCAGTTGTCAAGCCCTAGCTCTTGCACAGTACAAGGGGATGAGTTTCACAGAGGAGGAAACCAGGCTGTCTGATCTGAAGCCATGGTGCCTCTCGATCTAAATAGTGAAAACTACTTGGATGCTTGTGGTTTCAAAGTGAGTCATGATCTCTTGGAGGTGTCCTTGCTGTGGAAAAGAAAGCTGGGCTCGTGAGCAAGCTAACTACTGCTGGGTTTTCTGCAAACCGTTGCTTAATACATGACTTCCCCTTTCTGTGGAAAAAATCTCTGCCTGGACAGATGTTCCTAAGCCAGCATTTCCCTTGGCGCAGCCATAGTGTTTTATTTGCAATTTTATATGTGGCCATGGAAAACTTTAGAATAAACTTCCCTTACTGTCTTAGAAGTGCACTATTTGCTGTTCAAATCACAGTTTTCCTGTAGTTAAAGTGTTCTTTAAACTCTGTGAAGAGGAGGTGCTGAAAAAATGAAACCAGCGGTGGCTCAGCCAGCATGGAGCTGAACTGAGGAGGGAACAGGGCAGAGGACTGCAGCAGAGCAGGATGCTGTTTGCAGGAGGCAAAGGTGTGGCATGTTACTAACAGCTCATCAGTTTGTTTTGGTTTGGGTTTTTTATTTTATTTTATTAATATACTCGTAGATAAAGTGAAACCTGTTGCTGTTCTGGTATGTGTTACTTTGTCCCAGGTGACATTCATGTGGCTACTTCACAGGGTACATTTGGCGAGAGCTCTACAGGAACATAAAATCCAACGCAGGACCTTTGCAGCAGTACAAATTTAACAGACCGGGCTCATCTCTTTTGGGTGCAGTTTGTGACGTTTTCTGCTCCGTTCTGTCTCCCTTCTGCTGCCCACCAAGGCAGAGCACAGCCGGCCTGGTGCAGGAAAGTTTAGCCCTGCAGTGTTTAAGGGCAGATGTGGCAGTGGGAAGGTGTCTGCTCAGTACCGCTCCGAGGGCGCAAGAAGGGAAGCGGCTTTTTATCTGGCTGGTGGGTTCTCCCCATGTAGCAGTGTCGGGCTGATCTCCGGGCAGCACGGACCTGGCTGGCACCTGGTGGCAATGAGCCTTGTGGTGGCATTGGTCTTGCTCGGCTCTGGAGAGGAGGTTGCTGAAGCACCAGCTGGGACCTTCATGTCTAACCTGAGGCAGGAGGAACACAGACCTACTGCCCTGCTTGGTGTATCCTCCCCTGGGGAGGTTTTCTGGGGCTTGCACAGGTGGCAGGAGCTTTGCCCAGCACAGGAAGGTGGATTTGCTTTATTAGCCCTTAATCTTTGGAAGCAGGAGCTCTGCTGGGTGTGCAGGGCTGTCAAGGCTGAGCTGCTGTAAGCCCAGCCCATGCCACTTGCTGCCCTTGCTGTGCTGTGGGCAGAGTGTTTGTTCCCTGACCTTGCTGTACAATTAATGGCAAAAATAGCTTTTATTTCTTAGCTGATCTGAAGTCTTTGAAACAACTTCCCGTGTTGGTGTAAACCCCCCGAGGGAAGAAATGGTGAATAAGGAAGAGAAACCGGAGAGCCAAGCAGGTTGCTGCATGGAGCAGGCTGCCTGGCACACATCCCAGGGCTGTATGGAGGGAAAGACTCTCCTGGCTGAGTGGTGTGGATGGGTTTCATGGCTCTTGCCGGTCCCTGCCCCTCCCCAGCTGGCCTGTCTTGTGTGATTTGGCGAGGAACTGCGTCACCTGCAAATCCCCTGCAGCTGGGTGATGGCTCCCTGCCTCCGGCTGCATGGGTGGGAGATGTGTGGCTGCCCACCCTGTGTCTCCCTGGCAGGGATGCTCGTCCTACCGAGGGCACGGGGCTTCTTGGGGGTTGCAGTCCATCCCCAGAGACGGGTCTGTGTTTGCTGGGGAGCCCTGTGGCTCGGCCGTTCCCCTTGGGTTTGCCTGGGGCTGATCCTGTGCTGCCAAGGGTGTCTTCTCACCTGCAGTGAGAAATGTGGGTTTGTTCACCAAATGTCAGTCTGTGCAGGATCTGCGGGCTGTGAGATGGAGCCTCGGCTGGTAATGAATGGCTTCACATGAATGCCTGCGGGGTTATTTCCGCCTCCCTGCCCAAAATAATTGCTCTGCCGGCTTGGGTCAAGGTTCCCAGAGAACAGGCACGTCTGAGCTGAGTCCTGAAACTGCTCCTTGCTCCAGATGGCTTCTTTTCGCCCCCAAAAGACAGCTGGTTCCCCAGCCTCCTGTCATGGTGCTTGTCAAGTTTTTCATGGGCAGCACAAAATGCACACAAATATGAAGCCTCGGGGGTGACAGGGTGGTGACGAGCCTGTGCTGGGTCTGGGTGCCGGCCTCAGGCTATGGAAGAAAGAGAGGGGTATAAGGCAGGCTGAAAGCTGCTCTGTAAAAAGGTCTGCATCTTCCCAGGAAAATCAATGTACAGACTTAAAACACGTTAAATGCCACAGCCCTGTGCAGAAAGGCATGGCTGGGGGGGAAGTACTGAAGAAGTTAATGGAAATGTCTGTGTGCAGAGAGAGGTCTGATTTGGTGCTGACAGTCCCCAGCTGGGCTTGGGGCCGGGGGCTCAGCCTGCCTGGGGGGGGAGCAGGGCTCTCCCCCACCCCCCAGTTTATCGCCTGTGTTTGTGGTTTGCAGAGTTGGGCCCAGCTCCATGAAGTCGTGGGGGGGTTTGCTCTCGAGTTCCTGTTCAGCCTTTCCTTAGTTCCCCTTAGGGCTAAGGCTGGTCACGGAATGTGTCTGGAGCATGGCCCCAGGGTGGGGGGCTTGGGGCAGTGAGCAGCTGAGCACAGGCTGGGGCTGCAAGAAAAACCCATGTCCCCCCAAACCCCCCAGTGCCCACCGTGGGCTGAGAGCGAGGGGAGAGCTGAAAAATTTATGGAAGGGTTTTATGTGCTTTTTTCTTCTTCTTTTTTCCCCCCTCTTTTTTTTTCCCCCTTGTTTTTTTAAAACACCTCAGATATGGTTTCTAAATGTAGCATCCCCTAAAAAAAGCAGCAGATAAGTTATTTGTCTTCAAAATAGCCTGTGGGGAGGAATGCAGGTGGGGGCAGGAGCTGGGGACACAGGTGGCCTGGGGTGAGGCTGATGGACATCCTTGGGCAGAGGGTCTGTGCACCCCTGGGTGCCCCCGGGACTTTCCCAGCTGGGTCACATGAGCCTGGGGATGGGACAGGGGTCCGAGCACCGAGGCCCTTCCCCTGCATGGGGGCTGCGATTTCCCACCTGGGAAGCCAGAGCATCGTCCCACCAGTGCCTGCTTCTCCTCCAGAAACAGTATCTGCCAGGAGACCCTGCCCCGCTCCTTAGAAATGCTTTTAGGTTATTCCTTAATCCTGCTCTCCCAGCGCGCTGCCAGGGACTGACCATGCCATCCCTGCCATCGGGATGGCTCTGGGATTGACCCCAGGAGAAGGGATGGAGCCTGGAGCTGAAGAAACCTGCCCGTGCTCACCCCAATCTTGCCACTTTCTGGCCCTTGGGCCACGCATGAGGAAGTTTGCCTGGTAACTAGTGATGCCCCGATGGATTGCTTTTCATTTCACGCTTGGAATTTCACTTTTGGCTGAACCCGGGCCTCGGTTGTGCTGGGTCCTGACACTGGAGTCGGCTCGGTGCTGGGTGCGGCGTGCCCGCCAAGGCCAAGCCCCACGGCACAGCGCTGGCATCGGGGATGTGTTACACCTGGGCTGCCCTGGGTCTTTGTGTAAAATCACCTAAAATCAGCATTATGGGGGTGGATGGCTGCTCTCGCCCACTTAGCACTAGCAGGGCTGTGGGGTGGGCTGGGAACCCACGCTGCCCCACTCCCACTGGTGCTTTGGGGGTCACCCACCTTGAGGGGCTGCTTCTCCTCTCTCGGGTTTGGGGGTTCAGCCCCCCTAAAGCTGCTGCAGGCAGGGCGAGGGGGGTGCTGCAAGAGGGAGAGGGGCTTGAAAACACTTGGTGGTCCTTTAATCATTACCCCCTCAGCCTGAGAGGTGCTGGCCAAGAACCCCCACCCAGGGGGGGTCCAAAGTGACCCTCGAGGTGGGGTCTGGGCCAAAGTGCAGCTTTTCCTTGGCAGCAAAGGTGAGTGAGGAGGGGTGTACCCTGACGGCATGCCCCCACGGAGGGTCCTGCTTAGCCTTTGGTGTGGGGAGCCCTCCCCACGGCATCCCACCTCTGCATCCCACCTCCTGCTTCCTTCCTCCCCCATTGCCTCCCATCTCCACATCCCATGTACCTGTACCCCATATCCCACCTCCTGCCTCTCCGGGGGTACCAGACCCCCCCAGGCCCATGGTACCGGGTGTCACCAGGCTGGGTGTCGTGACCTGCCCGTGGCCGTGGGGTGGGAAGCAATGCCCCACGAAGTGTCTGCCGTGCTCACGGCCGGATCCAGCATAATTTCTGGATCGGAGACCTTCTGAACAGAGGTCTGCCTGGCAACAGGTGATGCAGGCACCAGCAGCCAATGGGGCTTTTTTTTTTTGTCCCCCCCCAGGAGGTGGCAGGGCAGGGTGGGGACCTGGGGGGGTATTTCCAGCGACAGCACTGGGGGTTGTTCATTGCCCATCGGTGTGCTGACAGCGAAGCCATGGCTGAGGAGCAGCGGGACCTCATCTCCGACCGCGGCAGCAGCGTGCTCAACCCTGGGGACAACCAGAGGTGCCGCTGTTGGGGGCACGGGGATGGGGGCCGTGGGGTCAAGGGGGCACGGGGAGGGCGAAGCGGGCACGATGGGGACATGGGGAAGAGGGGACGTTGCGTGGCGGTTGGGTGGAAGGGGGTAGAGTTGGGCCAAGGGGGCTCAGAGTGACTACGGGGCGGAAGGTGGGGTCACGCTGTGGCTGCGGGGCACTGTGGACCCAAGGGGGCTGTGGGGTGGCTATGGGGTGGAAGGGGCCGGAGCGTGGCTGTGGGGCGGGCAGGGGCACAGGGTGGCCGTGGAGGTTGAGGAAGGGGGTCGCTGTATCTCGGGGGTGGATGGGGAGGTGGCATGGCTATGGGGTGGACCGGTTCACAGCGTAGCTATGGGGCAGACGGGGGCATGGCGCATCTGTGGGGCAGAGGGGCTGGAGTCACGGCTGCGGGCCGGATGGAGGAACAGCGTGGCTGTGGGGCAGGCGGGCTGATGACGTGGCTATGGGGCAGGCGGGGCAGAAGATGGTTATGGGGCAGGCAGCGACATGGCACAGACCCAGCTTTGTGGGGCCACTCCCCGTGTCCCCAACCAGCCCCCATCTCCCAACCTCTTTGGGCCCCCCACCAAACCACTTCCAGCCAATCAGAAGCCCGGGAGCTCTGCCATCATCAGTCACCAGGCAGACATCTGTCCAGCCAGTCCCGCTCGGGACATGGCCTGCAGCAGCAGTGGCAGCCCGGCAGCACCCACGGGTGTCCCCACCTCGTCGGGCAGTGGAGGCAGGTGGTGGCTTTCTGGGGCACCACCGCACCCCACCAATGCCCCGTTCACCCCGGCGGGGCAGGATCTGGCCCGGGGAGGCCTTGGCAGCATGGCAGGCGGCCGCCTGGTGCTTGGCTTTGCCTTCCCTTGGCATCCCAGTGCCATGGCAGCACTTCGACGCCCACCTGCCCGGCCGGCCTCTGCGCTCGGGGTGCCCCGCGCCTTCGCTTTTTGCACGAAATTTTAAAAATTAAGTGCAATCCGGCATCCTGTCGGGTATGTCCTCAGCCCCCCGGGACCAGCAAGGCTTCAGGTGGCTTCATCAGCCCACAAAAGGCGATGCCCAGAGCGATGCCGTACCCCAAAATCCCCTGGCAGTGCCCTGCCCGCAGCCCCGTGTGCCCACACGCTCCCCGGGTACCCCTCCAGGGCCTCCCCTCCCCCTCGCCCCCGCAGTGGGTTTCGGTTCCCCCAGTGCGGAGGAGTGACCTTCACGCTGAGATTTCACTTCTGCACGCCCGCGACAGGGGAATTTGCATTTGTCTGGCTGCAAACCCCCCGGGAGGGGGGGTGTTTGTGGTGGTGCGGGGTGGCGGGGGGGTGACATGGGCTGCAGGAGGTGTTTTGGGGGGAATGATGATGGCAGGGTATGAGGACATCTCCTGCTGCCGGTGGCTGGGGCTGAGCTCTCTCTCTGTGTCCTGCAGGTCTGCGTGGGGCCGCAAAGCCGCCCTCTCCACGCTTTCCATCTTGGTGGCCCTGCTGATCGCCGGCCAGGCTGTCACTGTCTACTTTGTCTACCAGCAGAGCGGGCAGATCAGCAAGCTGACCAAGACCTCCCAGACCCTGCAGCTGGAGGCACTCCAGAGGAAGCTGCCCACCAGTCAGTAGCCCTGTGGGCACCAGTGGGGGGTGGTGGTGGTGGTGGTGGCCAGGCAGAGGGGATGGGTCCCCCCTGGACCACCCAACCCAGCGCCCCTCACGTCGCTCCTTCCTCGGCAGGTGCCAAGCCAGTGAGCAAGATGAGGATGAATCTAGACATGCCTCTAGCCATGAGGGTCCTGCCTCTTGCCCCCTCTGCAGACAAGATGGTAAGAGATGCCCACGGCTGCTTGGCACTGGCTGCTGGCGGCTGCCCTCAGGGCTCGCTGCCAGCCCTTGCACTCATGCTGTCCCTTTGCCTTTTCTCTTGAGAACATGGCCCCTCCTAGCAACAAAACCGAGGACCAAGTGAAGCACCTGCTGCTGGTAAGGTCCCCCGCTCCCCCACCGATCCCATAGCTGCCACCCCTTGAGCTGCAGAAGGCAACGGGACCTTCTGCTTCCAGCTTGTTGTCTCTTGGCTGGGTCTGGGGTTTCTTGGGGTGCTCAGAGTTGGTGGGAGCTCATGGCCTCCTGCAATGTCCATCTGGCTGATACAAGCAGAGCTTCAACCCCCCCCGCCTCATTTTTCTTTGCCCTGTCTCACCGTGGTGGTCACTCTGCAGCAAGCAGACCCCAGGAAGATGTTCCCGGAGCTGAAGGACAACCTGATGGACAACCTGAAGAGCCTGAAGAAGACCATGACTGATGCAGACTGGAAGGTCAGTGCTTGCTGCCATCCTACTCTTCCCCTTCCAGGAGCACCCCGCTTTGGGGAGGGATTGGGGTGTCCACACCTGGAAAAACAAAGTTCTGCTTGAGCCAGGCTTGGGTTACTCCCACCCCAAGGAAGGTGGTGGTGCTCACGACCTTCCTTGGCCCAAGGTGGAGCTTGCGGCACGGCTCCCCCCATGGTGTACCCCCCCTGTGCTGGTTAACACGCTGGTTCCTCTTGTTGCAGTCCTTTGAATCCTGGATGCACAAGTGGCTGCTGTTTGAAATGGCCAAGAACCCCAAGCCGGAGGATCATAAGGCGATCCCAGCGGAGAAAGGTATCAGGGAAGGGGGCTGCTGAGCTGGGGAGGGTTGGGACTGGCCCTTTGGGAGCAACCACCCCCTAGGAGGTGCCAGCATGGGGCTTCCCAAAGGCAACTGAACCCTCTGTCCCCTGACTGGTCACGGACCCTTTTGTTCCATGGGGAACCTCTTGGTGGTGACCTTTTAGGACATCACAGAGCCACTGCCCGTTGCCTGCAGGGCATTTGGGATGAGCAAATATCTGAAAAGCTGGAGCAGCACACCAAATCCTCAGTCCTTGGCTATCCCAAGAGCTTTAGAAAGGTCACCAGGATGGGGCTTGTTCACCTTTTAAATTTAATTTAACTGCTTCTGGATTAAAAAGCTCCCGCTGAGGCTGCCAAGCAGCAGAAGGGCCCGAGGGGCTCATGGTGTCTCCCCTTTGTTTTTTATTGCCCTAGTGCAAACTAAGTGCCAGGTGGAGGCCAATTTTGGGGGTGTCCAGCCGGGTCGCTTCCGCCCACAGTGCGATGAGAACGGCGACTACCTGCCCAAGCAGTGCAATGCTGCCACAGGCTACTGCTGGTGCTCCTACAAAAATGGCACCAGGATTGAGGGCACTGCTACTCGGAAAAAGCTGGACTGCCCCGGTAGGTCGCCAGGGAGGGGATGGAGGAGAGGAATGAGCAGTGTGCATGGATGCTGCCCCATTTTGCTTGCAATTAGGGAGAAGGAGAGCTGCCAGGGAGAGGAGAGGAGGGTGCCCAAGTGCTGGAGGGCATCCCTCACCCCCCTCTGATGCCAGCATGTTAAGGCTGGAGGGGACCCTAAAAACCACAGCCCTCCTTGGGTAGCTGCAGCTAGAGCCAAGGCATGCAGTCGCAGTTTTCTATGAGCTCCCCCCTTGCCCCCAAACCCGCAGCTCCACCCATGGATGTAGGCTCTCCCCCACTGCCCTCAGAGGGGTAGGGACGATGGGGCAGCTCCAGGTATCCATCACCCACGTCCTGCCCTCCCTCTGCAGGTGCTGCTGTTGCTGCTGCCACCACCACTGTGGACCCAGAGGAGATGATCTTCTCCGGGGTGGACGCGTACCAGCTGGGTGCAGAGAAAGGTGAGAGTCCAAGCACAGTTGTGGGACTGGGAAGGGGAAAGCCCTGGGGGCTGGGGCAGAGGAGGTGGGGGAGCTGGGGGAGGTACTGGTCCACCCCCAAGAGCCAGGGCAGCACTGAAGTACCGCTGGGGAGGCCGAGGTTGTGATGGAGACAGAGCAAAAGCAGCCTGGGCTGTGGGAGGTCCTGGAGCCGTCTTACTGATTCCCTCCTCTTTCCCCAACAGCCAAGTAGAAGAGGATGCCAGCGGATGCCTGTCCCGTCTTCAGCATCCCAGCTCACATGTTTTATTATTTTTGTTCTATTTCATTTCTGCTCTTACATTGCTTTTCCAAGGCGATTAACAATGGGCACCCCTGCCCCTCAAGGCACCGATTGTGACCCTTCCCCTGCTGCAGATGGGGCTGAGCTGCCACCAGGATCAGTGCTAGAGGCAAAGTGTTCCCTCACAGGGTGGGTAAAGCAGGCTGGAAAATTATTTCAACTATGTCAGACCCATAAACCCTGTTCCATTTTCCTCATCGGCATCCCTCAGCAGCCACGCAGCAGCAGGTGCAGAGCTCACCCCTGCTGAAGAATGAGCCCTTAATGCTTTCTTACTCTGAACATTAAAAGCAACAAAACAACCTCCACCAGCTTCTTAACTGACCCCCGTAGGTTGAAGCCCTGTTAGATTACTAGAGGGTAGTTTTGTAGAGAAGACATTCACCTTCAGCTTTTGCCTTCACGCTCGATAACAGCCACAGCAGTGGGTAACAGCAGGCAGAGGAGCTGACCCTGGAGTCAGAGGGGCTTCTAATTTTTCTGAATATATCTGATAGTTCCTTTATAAATGATCTCACAAGCTAATTATTTCTAATAAACTTTTGAATAAGAAAGCCTTGTAAGCAACTCCAGCAGTGCAGTGCTTGCGAACAGTTTACAGCTGTCCTAGGTTAAAAATAAATGAATCTTAAGAAAAAAGGGAACATCTGTGCCCCCACCCAGGATCACATATATTCCTTGCCACATTCCTGGCCCATCACTTGTTCAATCTTCCCTGCACCCTGGGGTCCCCCTGCGCCTAGCACAACCCAAGAGGCTGAAGTCACTTTTAAGTGAGTTGCAGCATGGGGCGTGGGGGGAGAGGAGAGCAGTCCCCTGTGCCAGGAGCCATCTCCCTTCTGCACCCGGATTGCGCCGGTGTGAAGGTGGCAGCCAGAGAGCTCTGCCCTCACCAGCAGAGCCTGGAGCCAGGCTGCACAGCATGGCAGGGAGGATCAGAAGGGGATCTGGTCCCTTTTTTCCTCACGTCCTAAACCCCCGGGCTGGTGCAGGGTAGCAGCTGCCAGTGAGGCAGCAGGCTAGATCGACACAGGGTGAGGCAAAAACCTGCTCTCAGCACCTGCCCCTACACAGCATTTAGTGATGGGGTGGGGGGAGTACAAACCAATACCAGAAGAACACGCAATGCAAAGCTGAGGAGCAACAGCCTCTGCTTGTCCTTGGGGAGCAGGCAGAAAGCAAGTAATTTTTCCCCAGGGGTTGAAGCGGTGCCTGTGAACCCAGGCTCTGCTCTCCTACCTGCAACATCCTCCAGAGACAGCTGAGCCCTGGCAGCCCCAGCGCCTGCCCTGCTTCCCTGGCCTGGCCTCGGTCACCTCCCTTCCCTTGAAAGCAGTTGTGATGGTTTTGGCTGGGGTAGTTAATTTTCTTCATAGTAGCTAGTATGGGGCTGTGTTTTGGATTTATGCTGGAAAGAGCGTTACATAATTCAGGGATGTTTTAGTCATTGCTGAGCAGTGCTTACACAGAACCAAGGCCTTTTCTGCTTCTCCCCCCACCCCACCAGTGAGCAGGCTGGGGGGGTACAAGAAGTTGGGAGGGGACACAGCTGGGACAGCTGGCCCCAACTGACCCAAGGGATATTCCAGACCATACGACATCATGCTTAGCATATAAAGCTGGGGGAAGAAGGAGGAAGGGGGGACATTCAGAGTTAGGGCGTTTGTCTTCCCAAGTAACCATTACGCGTGATGGAGCCCTGCTTTCCTGGTGATGGCTGAACACCTGCCTGCCAATGGGAAGTAGTGAATTAATTCCTTATTTTGCTTGGCTTGTGCACATGACTTTTGCTTTACCTATTAAACTGTCTTTATCTCAACCCACAAGTTTTCTCACTTTTACCCTTCCGATTCTCTCCCCTATCCCAGCAGGGGGGAATGAGTGAGTGGCTGTGTGGTGTTTAGTTGCTGGCTGGGCTTAAACCACAACACAGCTGAAGAAAAATCTCACCGTTCTTTTTTTTATTTTGTATTCCATAAAAAAAAAACCCACAAAAAATTACGCCACCTTGGCCGAGAACAGCTGCTGGACACAGCTGTTCAGTGCAACTCCAGGGACACGATAATCACTGCTGTCAGTGTTAGAATAAAAAGTAAACCCAAGAGCTCTCTTCCATAGTAGCAAAAGGACTGACACCACAAATCACAGAAAGGGGGGGCGGGGGGGAAAGGTAAAAGTTTCTCTTAAAAATATAGCTCTGTGATGAGAAAGAGATGGCTGGGTGTCAACTAGGAGGAAAGCAGTTTATGCAAGCTGGCTCTTCTCTGGTCAAACTGCCTCCTTCAGTTCAGTTCTTGTGCAACAGGTGAGCCATTGGGAGGGGCAATAAACATGTCTCTGAGCCCCAGCAGGGCAGGAGGAGGCAGAAAGTTACACTGCTCTGCTCTAAAAGTCACAGTTAAAAGAAGTTATAAATTATTATTAAAAAAAAAAAGTTGGAATTCTCCTGATGAACTTCCTTTTCCTCTCTTCTGTTTGATCTTCACCCATAAATCCTTAATCACAGGGATGCGGTACCTTTGGGGAGAGGAGTTAAAAGAGTTAGGGATGGGAAGGAGGAGAACAGCCTTACAGCTGAGCAGAGCAAGGGCAGAGTCATCTGGTCCACTTCCAGGTGGCTACAACATCACCATCTAATCCACATTACTTTTCCAAGCTCCCTGTGGTCAGCAGGGACAGACACTGCCAGAGGCCGCTTATCTCTGCTGATGACAGAGGACAGCAACGTCCAGGCTGGACATCCAGTTCTCAGCAGCTAAAGAGTTGAGGTCAAACACATCCAGAGAAGCCAGCACACTGCTGCATGACTTTCCTTACACCGCTCCACTCCCTGGCCCTCTAACCTAAGGCCAGGCTGACTCAGTGAGCATTTAGAGGGCACACCATCTTCCCAAGACTGGCCCAGGAATACTGAATTTGGCCAAGGTTACCGCCGTTCAGAGGTACCACCTGGTAGTCCCCACAGGCCATGTACCTTCTCACAATCCTTCAGGCTCAGCTGTTTTCTTCTTCTAAAATGCAAAGGGTAAAAAATAAATCAGTATCATCTGCATCACAAACATGAAGGACCCACCAAAGCCACAAGCCACAGAGGCATCTTAGCTACCATCTCTACAGGGACATATCCATTATGAGGAACACCCTTTAGGCTCCCTCTGCCCCCCTTCCTAGCCTTTGGGATGGGATGCAGTAGCCTGCCAAGCCCTCAGGAGCTCCAGTTTCTGCTGAAAACAACTAGATGAACAGACAGCTGAAAAGAACAGCACTTACTCCTTGGGCAGGTTCTCTGCCACCAAAAGGGCCCCTGGGTTTGAACCTTCCAGGAAAAGGGACCTCTCCTGGGGGAGCGATACAGGAACAAGCCCTTCTTTGAGCAACCCCAATCCCAATCAACCAAAGGTCAGGGTGTCTGAAGACTAGCCACAATTAACTGCAGCCTCCTCTGTACTGCCAGCAAGGCCAGGACACAGCTCTGTTCCTCTCCAGCCTGACATGCTGCAGGGATGAGCATCACAACTGAGGTTCAGAACAGCTCTCCCCATGGTGCCCCATTCCCAGGGTCTTGTACATACCTTCTTTTTCTTCTTGTGAACCTCAGCGGAGGCATCTGCTATAGGCTCCCCCTCCGAAGACACCTTTTTGGTCTTCTTCTTTTCTTTTCCAGTCTTTTTTTCTGGAAGAGGGAAAGAAAAGACAAGTAAGAGAGGGACTCTGATATTGCTGGCCTCTGAGATGGAGCACGGAGTGGTAGGAGTATCTCCAGTAAGTTTTTGATCACATCTGAACCTAAGCCAGCTTTGCAGAGCAGTAACTGGGAGAGGGCAGAGCCCTGCTACAAGGCAGCTGCGCCCAGGGCTGTTTCTCCAGTACCTCTGAGCCAGAGCAGTTTGATCCCACCATCCACGCACACATGTGGGCAGAATTACATAGGATCCCCTTTCCACCTCCTGCTGCCCACCCACTCCGAGGAACCACTTCAGTGCTGGAGTAGCTGGGCACATGCCAGAAATCAGGGCAAGGGGAGGTACTAACACAGGATGGACACAAGGTTCAGCTCAGCACAACTGCTCCAAGAGGCTCCAGCTCACCCCTGTGCAACAGCCCACACAAGGGCTGACGGACAAGTCTGTCTCCTCCAGAATGAAGGGCTGCATCTCTGCAGAACAGAAAACCCAGCAGATCTGTCCCACCCATTCCATCTCCCCTTTTTTTTAAAAACAAAAACAACAACAGCCATCAAAACATCCCCCTACAAGATCCAGCACAGAACCAGCTCTGATTTACAAATGCAGTCCATGTTGCAAAGAAAAAAAAAATTGCCTTTGCATTAGGGCAGCAGAGCATTACAGAGAGGCATGCAGACAAGAAGGGGAGGAAACACTCTTAATTGGGAGCAACGAGCAGGAGGCTGGTACCATCCTCCTCTTTCTCCAGGGGTTTGAAAGCAGCAGTGATAGCCCTGAGTCAAATCTCTTGAATGAGCTGCTCCCCATGTTGCAGCACAGACACTGATCAGGCAGGGTCAGCAAAGGGCACTGTCACCCCACGGGAAACAGCAGTGGCTGACACAGCAGATGACAGCGCAGATTTCAAGGCTGATCTCTTTTAAAGAGGCTGGCAGCAAGTGGCCACATTCAGGAAGCTCTAACTAACACAAAGCCCCATGCATGTGAGCTCTGGGATTCCTCTGCCATGCCCACAGCATGTCACAGACCTTCCGCCTGCCATCCCCAGCCACGTTTCGCCTTAGCTCTCTGGTAGTGCGCTGTGTTTGCCACAGAGGAGCCAGGGCAGCCGGCTGGGTTAGCAGAGCTGTTCTGTGCTGCAGACACAGAGCAGGGCACCATGCAGAGTGCAGCAGGCAGAATAGAGGTCTCGTGGCTTACAACTAGCAAGAACTCTCCCAAGCCCAGCGCAGGTGGGCAGGCCACGCGAGGGGGACAAATAGGCCTCAGGAGGTTCAACGCAGTCTCACCTCAACCTTTTGACAGCCCTCAGCTAGACAGCTGTTTCCAGCCAGGATAAAGGCCAGGAAAGGAGAAAGCCCTGGAGGGACAGGTCATGCCATAGAAGATGCACAGGACACCAACTTGCTCTGCAAACAGCAAGGATCAGCGCAAGCATTAATGCAGTTCCCACTGTGCCAGACGCAGGACGGAGAGGGGCAGGAGAGCCCAGCTTGCTGTCTACAACACAACCTGGTGCTGAGACTGCAGAAAAACACTGAAGTGGGGTGTTAAAAATCTGGCATTGGCTTTGGGAGGTCCAAGAGGGAAGTAGCCAAGCAGAATGCTAATGGAAAAGTGGGTGCTACTTACAAGGTCCCGCACCAGAGGCTGAACATGCATCAGCTGCAAGAACCTATTGCAAATGCAGCCCCAAGCGAGGGATGCTTACTTTTGGCTGATTTTTTCTTTTCCTTGCTGCCTGGCAGCTTCTCCAGGTCACCAGCTGCTTTCTTCTTTTTCTTTTTGGGTACTTCTTCATTAGCTTGCCCTTTCCGCTTCTTCTCCTTGGGCTGCCCAACAGCCCCATCTTCTCCTGGCAGTTTCCGTTTCTGAGATGTTTTCTGCTTCTTGTTCTCTTTGTCTTTGCTCTTAGATGTTTTCACAGCCTTGTCTGCTGTGGAGGAAGGTTTCTTCTTTTCTTTCTTTTCTTTCTTCTCCTTTTTCTTCTTCTTCTTCACTTCCAATCCTTCCAGTGTTTGCACTGCAGGAACTTTGGCAGCAGTGGTGACCTCAGTTTCACTCCCCGAGCTTGACTCCTCTGATTGTGGGATAGAGAACAGTGCATGTGACGCTGGGGTCACTTGCACCCCTTTTGCCCCAACATCATTCTCTTTCACAGCCAGGGCTTTCTTGAGTGGGGAAGGTTTGAGGCTGGCATGACTTGGCTCCGTTTTTCCTGCCACCTTCTCTTTGTTGGAGGCTCCTCCTATGGCTTCCTGCCCTGGAAGTGGGTTGTTTTCTGCACAAACAGTGA